TCAGACCCACATGTGGGTTCATTCGAATCTACCATATATCTAGGTATATTCAGATTTTCTTTTTTTTATAAAGTTGCTGATGAAGGATTAATCCTTCGAAACATGTCCTTTTATCCATGACCGTTGGTCATTATTAAATTGTTTTTCTACTCACATAACTGAAATAGTATATTATGTAACAAGTTTTATAAACGTCCTTTTAGTAACGAGTATTTTAAGCACGAGCGGAGCAGAGCATACCTGCTCTTCCTGCTAACCTACAAAATAATTCGGAAGGGATGGGAATTGAGAACATAATACATGCAACTGCATGCAACCAGCGAGACACGTATAAGTGATAGTGGTTGTAGATGTGTCCAGTCCATTGCTTCCTAACCTTTGTTTCAAGTTCATTGTCATGCTTAGCGCATATTGAATGAATTGTTCTCAAACATAGATGCTTCATTTTTACACTTCTTGGAGATATGCAAGTACCAGAACAATCTCTTCGATTTCACTTTCGTCTACATTTCGCATATATTTTTAAAGAAGAATTTTGATACAAACGAAAATTGTTTGAATAATTCTGATACAAAATTTGAAAATAAAAGTTGACAGATAATACAATTGACAGGCCAGACATGCCTCAAATTACTGAAGCTGTGTTCAATGAACTGAGTGCCCATGGTAATGTGTTTAAGAAATCGTGTTGCCATGGTAACGTGTTTAATATTTTGAATAAATCACAGATCGTCAACCCGTGATTAATCGATCATTTAGCGTGATACATATCCGTACGCTAAATGCCATTTTAGTTATGTGAGTAGAAAATAGTATATTATGTAACAAGTGTTATAAACGTCCATTTAGTAACGAGTATTTCAAGCACGAGCGGAGCGAGTGTTTAATAAACGAGTGTCTAGAAGATGGATGCTTCAATTTTACACTTCTTGGACATATGCAAGTACTACCAGAACATTCTCTTTGATTTCACTTTCGTCTACATTTTGCATATATTTCTAATGAAGAATTCTGATACAAACGAATTTTGTTTGAATATTTTTGATACAAAATTTGAAAATAACAGTTGACAGATAATACAATTGACAGGCCAGCAGGCCAGACATGTATCAAATTACTGAAGCTGTGTTTAATGAACTGTGTTGCCATGGTAATGTGTTTAAGAAATCGTGTTGCCATGGTAACGTGTTTAATATTTTGAATAAATCACAGATCGACAATGCGTAATTAATCGATCATTTAGCGTGGTACATATCCGTACGCTAAATGCCTTTTTCTACTCACATAACTAAAATGGCATTTAGCGTACGGAATATAGAATGTTCTCAGTAGGCGTCATACTTTTCAATATATTTCAAATGAAAACAACTTCTGGTTTTTCCGGAATCGATTTCAACTTTCGATATTGAAATTGGACACCTTGTATATTATAATATTTTCGAAATATTCGTTATAATCTGAATCTGAACCTTTCGCATTATTGATCATAATGATATAGGTGTTCCAACTACGTGCCAGAAAAAGTGAAACAAAACGAATACTATCGATGGAGATTCCATCCATATTAACTCTTTTTGGGTATGAACAATTAATATACCTAGCTGTGCTGACAATATGAATAATCACTTTTTGAGTATTGATATTGGTAAATAGCAAAAGGAATTGTCATATACCATACTAACATTCAACGTAAAAATATAAGTCGTGATTATAACAATAATTCTACAATAATTCAAGAAAGAAAACTCGAAATCATATCCACAAGTTCAATGTTAGATATATGCAGTAAATCCTGCTTCAATAAGGTTTGAAAGGTTTGAAACATGTTTCGGCCATTCAAATGGCCATCTTCAGTCAAATTGGTACATCAAAGTGTATCTGCATGGGAAAACCCAAGCTTAATTTTAACATACCATGAAGGAAGTGAAGAAAATGGAAAATCACAAAGTTGTAGGTAAATGCAACCTTGAATTAGTTAACAATTTCAGAAGTACAAAAGAACAATGGTGATTATTATAAAATTATCACAATATTATAATTGATTAGTAATTGATGAGTGAAAAATGAAAAAGCCAAATTTTTATTAAAACACAAATTATGGAAACAAGATGGCGAACCTAAGGTAGGAAGGTTGTACTCACGTGTGAATAGTTATAAAATCGTGAAATAGAAGAAGAGGAGAAAACTTCATCTTAATAATACATATATAATTAATAATTGAGAAATTGAATAGAAATTGAAATAGGTAATTTTGAAAGAGGAGGCAAAGAGCTAATCCCTTCATTGGGATCATGAATTTCGTCATCGGTAGCCGAAGAAGATCTGCGTGTCTTGATCATTCTAGAAATAAGGAAAACCAAAGCGCTGTTAATTTAGAAAAATTAGAACCTCTCGAAGAAAAAAAAGAAGGACAGAAAACTGTAATGTGATTCCGATATCCGAGATCATTATGCTCGGAATGGACACATGCATACCTCATTCTTCGAAAAGATCATCACCATCGAAACCCTGGTTCAACAAAAACTGTTCTAGAACTGTTGCCTTGAAACAAACAGCCTACCATCGCTGGCGCAAAAACCCTAACCTGGCGACTAGAGCAGAATACGTTGATGCCAGGAATAACTGCAGCCAAACAATAGATGCTTCGAAAGAAACAAACAATGCCAAGATAAGATCGAAACCCATAGATTGTCCCAATGGCTCCCGTTCGTTTTGGTCCCTCGCTAAAGCGGTCAGAAGAAATTTCACTAATAGTTCATTTCCACCACTGTCCAAATCCGACGGCACATTAGCAACAACATCGCAGGAGAAAGCAAATATGTTTGCAGAGATGTTCGCAGCAAACTCTACTTCAGATCACCAAGGAAAAGTGCCACCAGACATTCCACCCGTTGAGAGTCGAATGCCCGAAATCGTCTTCCGTCAACGCACTATCAGACGAATTTTGCTTGGTCTCAAAACGAATAAGGCTAACGGTCCTGATGGAATTCCACCCATTATCCTCAAAAAATGTGCACCAGAATTAACACCGATTCTCTGCAAGTTGTTTACCGTCTCGTACAGGTTGGGTATATTTTTCCATCATGCTGCAAGACAGCTAGAGTCCAACCAATCCCCAAAAAAGGGAACAAGAACCTGCCCAACAACTACAGACCCATTGCCTTGTTATCAATAATCTCCAAAGTGATGGAGAAAGCCATCAATATTGAGCTTACCAAATATCTGGAGAGCTCAGGAATCATCAATGATAGACAATACGGCTTTCGCCACCGAAGATCTACTGGAGATCTACTTGCCTACGTCACCCATTTATGGCAAGCTTCATTAGAAAAACAAGGGGAATCTCTAGCTGTCGCGTTGGACATATCGAAAGCATTCGACCGTGTTTGGCACAAAGGACTCCTCTACAAACTACCATCATACGACTTACCATCTCAACTATGCCATCTCTTATCGAGTTTCCTTTCAGGCAGATCGCTTCACGTGGTGGTGGACGGTGTATCGTCTGATACCATTGGCATCAATGACGGCGTTCCACAAGGATCAATTTTGGCACCAACATTATTTCTTTTTCATATCAATGATTTGTTGGGAGTTACAACTTGCCCCATCCACAGATTTGCAGATGATAGTACCCTCCATACTGCGTTCTCTTCCAGAATCCCCATTTCTTCCCAGGAAACTAAGAACTAACGGTGCAGGCAGGTCAATGCGGTCAATGAAGACCTTGCTGAAATCACAGCCTGGGGAACCAACAACCTAGTTGAAATCAACGCCACCAAAACTCAAGCCTGTATTTTTTTCTAGAAGAGCGGAACTCAGTATGCCCGATATTGTTATGTCTGGCACCACCATCCCCACCAAGCCCATCATATCTATGCTCGGTATTTCCATCAGCAACACTCTTTCATGGGATAATCATGTCAGATCCATCACAAAAGCTGCTTCACAAAAACTCGGACTCTTGTTGCGTGCGAAAAGCTACTTCACACCTCAACAGCTTCTCATGATCTACAAAGCGCAGATTCGACCTGTTCTTGAATACTGTTCCCACATATGGGGTACAGCACCAAAACATACGCTGATGCTCTTAGATTCCATCCAGAGAAGAGCCATTCGCCTGGTGGGTGACGCCACACTCACTCTTTGACATCATTGGAACACCGTAGAAAGGTCAGCGACCTTTTACTTTTCTATCGATACTTTCACGGGAAATGTTCTTTGGAAATCTCTGCTATTATCCCTTCACTAGCAATACCAGTCAGCACATCCTTCCGTTGTCAACCTCGAAATATGTCGAACAGCACTTTATCAAAACTCCTTCATCCATAGAACGGCTATAGGCTCTGGAATTCATTGCCTGAGGAAGTATTCCCAACAACATACAATCTCCAGAAGTTCAAAAAAAAATCTAATACCTACCTCCTGTCCCTATCCTTCCTAGGAACGCACGATATTCTTTGAACATTATAGGGATTTCCTTTCGTGTGCTCCAAGCGATAAAAAAAACGCATAGTATTTGTATGCCTCCTTTTTCATTTCCATGTAAGTACTAAGTAATTCTTGCATCTATATCCTCAACACTGATTTTTCTAGAACTATGATATTTTCTATTGGCTGATGATGGGCTTATATGAGCCCGAAACATATTCCTTTGAGATTGATATTTGATCATTCCAATGAATGTTGTGGAGATGACTTTGGGTTTTCATTTATGAACTACACCTCTCCACTTTGAGTTACCATGGACTCCTTCCAAAGAATATAAAATAATATTCATCCAAATGGGTGAAGGTCGATTTTTGACTCGATAAAGTAATTGCTGTCTTCGACCTGATAATATTTCAAACTTCTGGTCATTAATTGAAAATAAACAATATTGGGGATAAAGTAGCACTTTATCTCCTGGATCAGCGGCTGTAAAGTAGTGCCGAGTGCCGTAAAGTACCCCCGTAAAGATACCCATTAAAGCAAGCGGTTCTCGAAAAAAAATTTGTCACTTACCCATCATCAGGATCACAGTCTCTGAAGCCTTTGGCAAAAGGGTTACTCGCTATTTTCAGTTGTGTAATCTGAAAATGAGAACCAAATATCAATAAAGTGAAGTCACAGAAATGTATCAAAGATTTTTCAAATATTGAAAAGGGTTTTGAATTATCCTCTCACTAGTCCGATTAGGATCCTTCATGATTTCTTAATAATTATGGAACTATGGCTATGTTCTGAATTCAACTGGTCACTGGTCAGTACTGTCACAAAATCCACTGATTCTGCTGAAAATATGTGTTTCAAAATATGAAATCGAAAATACAGTGCTGTATTCGGAACATGTTTCTATGGTTTCCATCAGTAATCAGCAGTAGTTGATCAGCTGGTGAAATTTGAATATTATTCTAAGCGTCAATTATTTTAATAACATGCATCTTCTGATATCATATATGATATTATCAATTTACTATTGACAAGACAAGACCTAATGTTTTAAAAATAAGAACTACCCTTCCCCCTCTAAAATAATGTCAGTTGAATGAAGCCACACTACCTACACCTTTTGATAGTCAGCAATTTCAGCAGGATGTTGAGACGAAATATTTGGAATGAATAGTATGTCTACTCACAAGTATCTGTCAATTTCAGGAATTTTTTGATTTTGGAATGAAGAATCAGCAGATTCAGTAGTGTCAGTTGTATTTGGAATGTAGCGAGAGTGTTCGAAGTTTTTTTTGTAGACCATAAATGGCTGCTATCGAAAATCTGCCTACCGATATCTTTACAACACAACTACTATTCATAAGTAATATCATGATGTTCTGAATATTCTAGAAAATTCTGTAGCTTTTATTGTTCACGAAATTGTGTTACCGAGCAAACCACGAGTCCGTCAGGACGAGTGGAATTGCTAGGGATTATGCTCGGGATTATGAGAAGATATTCAGAACAGAGTAGTATTTTGCTATATTATTTCACGTTCACGAAGCATGAAAAGCATTTATTATGAATTAGTGATTCATTCTGACAAGTACAGCTATAATTATTTTAGGTGAAGGTTACCTAGCTGTGTGCACGTGTATATATACCAATAAAAGGAAAGTGTTGTATTTCGTGCAAGATAATTCATTCGAATTTATTACTAAAGCGCTTTCGACTGTTAAGTCATCATCAGTGCATACTGTCGCAGAGACAATGGCTGCTGTATTTTACGCCCTTTTTGGGAAACAAATTTTAATCTGTTTGTACCGTATTTAACCATAATGTCGATATTTTGAACTGGACAAGAGATATTTTTATGGACAAATTTCCTTGTTAACCTGACGAGTATGCACTGATGATGACTTGACCACAGCAAGCGCTCTTCTACGAGTAATGAATACATTATCTTGCACGAAAAACAACACTTCCCTTTATTGGTATAATTATGTTGCCAAACCACAGCCGTCTTCATTGAAGACGGCTGTGGCCAAACTGACAGACTTTGCTTCGCTATCCATGGTTACATCCAGACTTTGATTTGCTATCCACGGTTACATCTTTAAGAACATGAATGCTGTCAGATCAATCAGAATTGAAAGACAGCTCATGTTTCGCACACGTTGCCTCTGGCTTGTGATTGGTCAGATTATATGATGAGTGAAATAGTCACTAATATCAATCGAAAATTAGAATTAACATGGAACGATGTGGTTTCCTATGATGGGTTATTGATTATTATTATATTATTTTTTATGTTTGGTAACGTGCCATTGTAGAACCTCATCGGTGATCAAGAAACTTCCCAATATTCTTTGTATATTAGCTTGTCAAACTTCGCCAAGCGGCTTTCACGACCAAAAAATAAAAAGGAAAAGCAAACATAGAAAATAGGTAGAAAATGGCCGAAGTTGATAAATTCGTTTTCTCAATGCATTCCAGAGATCCAGGTGAGCTAAACAGCCATTCCGTGAAACTGGTTGAATTCGTGGCGAAAAAGTTTTTACGATGTATCCATGCTGATGACGAGAATTGTTAGGCCTGTTCGTTTGTATTGCTTAACTTGCTAAAGTTGACTCTTTCTCCATAGTTGTTTCTGTTCATGGCATGATGTAAACCAAGTTAATCATAGAAAGAAATCAAGTTCAGCAGGTAGAGCAAGGACAAACGAACACGCCTGTTGTTATAAGTAATATCACGATGTTCTGAATATTCATTTATAACCCCCCTAGGGAATGAACAACTGATTTATGCACGTATGAAATTCGGTAAAAAAAATTTTGTATCGGAATTATATTTAAAAAAAAACATCAAGTGAAATTGTTGGATTCTGTCCAAAAAAGGACAATGCGTCTCGTGGGTGATGCCTCGCTCACAAACTCACTCACTTCTCTGGAACACCGAAGAAAAGTTGGCGATCTGGCTCTATTTTATAGATATTTTCATGCCATAGATTAACGATGCTCTTCTAGTCTTCTGAAATATTAACTATTGTTCCTCCTTTGGCAGTTCCGGCACACGGGTCGATCGGCGACATGGGCGACGCGATTGCAATGACGTCACAATTTCTGCATTCGTACGATTCAAGAGACGGGAGTGTGTGTCATCCGCATATGGGTCGACGTTTTGTGTAGTCGACTCGCGTCTGATCAACTTAGTTACTCTATTTTTTGCAACTTCAAAAAGAAATGTTTCGCTAAAAATGAGCAGTTCCAATGGCGAGGAGGACATATTCATGTTTTTGTGGCACCGGCAGATCAGGAGAAGAAGAAGACAACGAAGTTTATGGGTGCATCCGTACATTGCACGAAATTTTCACACTCGACTTTTTGTTACTGCAAGTGAAATGCAAGAGAGTGGCACAAAATTTCTGGCATTTTATAGAATGTCGAAGGAATCATATATTGATTTAGTGGAAACTCTTGCTCCAGCCATAAATTATATGGAATCAAATATGAGGGAATGTGTCAGCGCAGAAGATCACATACTAATAACATTGATGTAAGATTCATATATTTCAAAAACACAGTTCCTAAAGTTGAGAGTATAAATTGGAAACATAAGATTATACAGTGCTAGTCAAAAGTCCCCTCCCCCCCTCGTATCTTTTGAACGGGTATACTTATAATAATGAAATTTGGAGGGTGGAAATAAACGGATGTAGGCTTCTCAACTGGTCATAACAGGTGACGCAATAGTCATAAATGACGTCACAAGGCCATTATTATAAGTATACCCGTTCAAAAGATACGAGGGGGTGAGGGGACTTTTGACTAGCACTGTATGTTCTAGTTACTGCAAGTAAAGAACTAAGGTAGGTAACACAAATATTCACAATGATTGAAAAATTATTGAACAACTTTCTCCATTGAGACGCAAGATTCTCTCGATCAAACTGCTTCCTTGCTAATCGCGTGAGACTGAAAACGAGGAGATCTTAAATCGTACGTTTCTAGACGACCACTAAACGACCCGTGTGCGGGATCCAGATGCTTTGCTTAGGCCCTCCGCACACGGGTCGATCGGCGACATGGGCGACGCGATTGCAATGACGTCACAATTTCTGCATTCGTACGATTCAAGAGACGGGAGTGTGTGTCATCCGCATATGGGTCGACGTTGTGTGTAGTCGACTCGCGTCTGATCAAGTTAGTTACTCTCCTTTTTGCAACTTCAAACAGGAAGTTTTCGCTAAAAATGAGCAGTTCCAGTGACGAGGAGGACATAGTCATGTTTTTGTGGCACCGGCAGATCAGGAGAAGAAGAAGACAACGAAGTTATGGGTGCATCCGTACATTGCACGAAATTTTCACACTCGACTTCTTGTTGCTGCACGTGAAATGCAAAAGAGTGACACAAAATGTTTGGCATTTTATAGAATGTCGAAGGAATCATAATTATATTGATCTAGTGGATACTCTTGCTCCAGCCATAAATTATGTGGATACAAATATGAGGGAATGTGTCAGCGCAGAAGAACGCATACTAATAACATTGAGGTATAAGATTCTTATATTTCAAAATATCGAACAGTTCCTAAATTTGAGAGTATAAATTGGAAACATAAGATTATATGTTCAAGATACTGAAAGTAAAGAACTCAAGGTAGTTAACACAAATAATCACAATGATTGAAAAAATATTGAACATTGATTCTAGACGACCACTAAACGACCCGTGTGCGGGATCCAAATGCTTTGCTTAGGAAGTCGAGTAGAGGGGAGACCGTCGTACGATTTGAATCGCGTCGCCCATGTCGCCGATCGACCCGTGTGCGGAGGGCCTTAGGAAGTCGAGTAGAGGGGAGACCGTCGTACGATTCGAATCGCGTCGCCCATGTCGCCGATCGACCCGTGTGCGGAGGGCCTAACCCATCGAGTTGAGGCTTCGCACCCCTTCGTACGTGGTCACTTTGGAGACCTGCAGAACATCTCTTTTCAAAGACTCGTTCATCCAACGAACAGCGAGGCTCTGGAACACATTGCCAAGGCAGGTGTTCCCCGAGGTATATAGCCTCCAGAAATTTAAGCAGAACACCAATTCCTACCTAATTTCCCTTGGTTCTCACTATGTTCTCTGAACATTAAAGGATATCTGTTTTCGTATGTAAACAGTTAAAGTGATGTGGAAAACTATATAAGAAGTATACTTCCCTGGATGCGCATATTCCGAAAATCAAAGCCTGCAATATTTTCCTTAAAAAAGAGAGGGAAGTTCAGCAGCACTAACTTTAGATGAATTGTATTTTTATACTCTTCATAAAATAATTTCACACCAAACATTCTCGATCAATTTAAAGCCTGTATTTCGTATCGTTACCATAGCAACAAAACAAATTTCTTGAAAATTTTTTCTTCCTCCTTGGGGGACGGAGCATGAGATCGCACTGGAAATTTTTCGACGTTTATAGGTTAGATGACATTTACATTCAACCTCAGATTATTTCGAGTTCATTCTATAAGTCAATAAATAAGAATCATTTATCAACAGTTTACCATATAATATTATGTAAGTATACTTGCAATATAATATTTCAGTTGAAATTTTCTCACCGAATACCACTTTAGCTACAATAAATATATGGGAAGTTTTTCTCGAACACGGATATTCAGAAAATTCTCCAAATATTCGTGTTCTCGAAAAAATTACCATCCAGTTAACAATGAAGGACAGAATGATGAGAAGATATTCAGAACAGAGTGATATATTACTAGGCTATTTCACGTTCACGAAGCTTAAAAAGCATTTATTATAAATGAGCGATTCATTCTGATAACTATAGCTATAATTATTGTTGCCGAAATGACGGAGTTTGTTTCGCTATCCATGGTTACATCGTTGAAAACACCAACTCTGATAGACCAATAAGAATCGAAAGACAGCTTATGTTTTCACTTATATAATTTCGCAATGTTATTGATAATTTCGAAATAATTTATCGTATACTTTCGAAAGCGAGTAGCTTGGTAACTGAAAGCAACTTGCTCGGGAAAGTTAAAACAAATTATGAGAATTCATCAATAGTCGAGGGATATTCAGTAAGGATTATTTTTCATAGAATTGGAATCAACTCATTTGCGACATTTCCATATCTTCTCGAATTGGCTGACATTTTGAAAATTTGGTTGAGTTAACGTCAAACTATGTCATTACCATCTTGACTTTACAACTGTGACAATTTACCAGGGCACTTATCAGTTGAATGTTTGTCTGATTGGCTAATACTGGTCGCTTGGTCACAAATACGTAGATATAATAGGTTCAAATCAGATGGTAATTTTTTTCGCAATAAACACACGTGGTCTTCGACTTGTGATTGGTCAGATTATGTGATGAGTGAAATAATCAATATACTCGAAAATTAATACTCACCCTATGGTTCTGATATGCTGTCACAGCGGTGAAGGAAGTTTCCGGAAAAACGAAAGTTTTGAAGTTATCGCCGCAGTGTTCCTCAGAAATATTGCTATTTTTGGGTGGCAGGTAAACTATATGGAATCTAGGTTGGTATCGATGCATGGAATTCAGTATTATCTGAAAAACAGGAAATTTGTCTACCATGAACAGTGTGTCCCGTTTTCGATGATTTCTCGTGATACCTCAGTTATCTTTGGAGATACAACTTTGCGGTCCTGTCCACTTTCTTCAATAACTCAAAATGGACTAATCAGAATTTGCATAACTGTTTCTATTCACGAGATACAGGTCAATTTTGAAAATTTATACTTTTTGAACCCCCTCCATATCTACGGAGTTTCTCAGCGAAACGTTAAATTGAAATCTCATTCCATAAGTTTTTTGACGCAAAATCCAGTGGCGCACTGATTTTTTTTTAGAGGTATGGTTTTGCAGATACGTCTCAAACTTATGATTTTCCAAATGGAACATCCTGTGTTATATGAGCTCTTTGAATTCCTAATTCTTTTCCCTGCAAAATGATACACAGGGTGTCCGATAAGGTCATGTCGTAAATGATAGAACTGATAGAGTGAACCAAAATAATGTTAATACTTCATATAAAAAGAAAGTGCTATAGACATTTTTTTATATGAAGTATACTGACATTATTTCGGTTCACTCCGGCTCCCTATAAAATGTGTAGATATCAAATTTTCTAAAATGATTCAAAATCACTATAACACAGAATTTTGATAGTGGGCTATGGATTTTTTATATAGAAAAAGTTCCAATAGAAGGAATATTTCATTCGATGTCCCTATGAAGAGGACAAAAACAATACCAACACTAATTAACTAACAAAATACAAAACTTAGATACCTGATAATGTAGAATAAGCTTACCTGAATATCTACTAGAACATTTGTGTTTCGGAATTATTCGAGTAACTTATTCATTGAAATGTTCAAATTGATGTCCATTTTTCCTCACACACTTCCTCCCAAAAATCGAGTACGCTACTGGATTCTGCTGGAAATTCTCTATGAGATAAAAATATAATTTGACATGTTCGCAGGGAAACTCCGTAGATATAGAAAGAGGTTCAAGAATTATAAATTTTCTAAATCGCCCTGTATCTCATAAACAAATAAAGAGTTGTGCCATCTTGAGTTACACAAAAAAATGGCACGACAGGACTGCGAAAACCGCAGGGTTGTATCTCCATCATTATAAGTGTATGTGATTTACTGAAGATTAATAATAATATAGGAAACTAGCTGACCCGACAAACGTTGTTTTGCCATAACATTTCTAAAAAAAATGTTTTTACATAAATATTTATCGAAGAACTTTCATTATTTTATTCATACTTCTTTTTGGTTCGGCTATAATATGAAAATGGGATTCTTTAGTTTTTCGAACTATTCTATTTATTCTCTACTTCTTTTTAGTTCGGCACTCTGTATCTCTTCATTTTTTCATTTATTTTCTACTCACTTCTTTTTAGTTTGGCTAACTATAATAACGTGTTTCATTAGTTTTTCAAACTACTATCCATTACAATAGCTGATGCTGATACCTGGCACACGTTGTATCACACTTTTATTATTTGTCATTCAGTTTGGATATCCATGAAATCGTGTTTCATTAGTATTTCAATCTACAATTTTTATTCTCTACTTCTTTTTAGTTCGACAATTTATCTCGTTTTTTAAACAATACTATCAATGTTCTACTTCTATTCAGTTTGGCCTCGAGTTTGGCTATCTATAAGAGCGTGTTCCATTATAGTTTTCCAAACTACTATTTATTACAAAGCTCTTTCATCATATTCAATCCGCCATCTTGAATTTCCCAATTTTGAAGAATGAAATCATAATCTCCGACCCCAAAAACCCCCAGATACAGATTTTGAATGAAATCGGATCATAATTACAAAACTCGTACGCCATATTGGATCCTCCATCTTCAGTTGCCTGATTTTGATGAGAGAATCATAATCTCCGACCCGAAAATCACCCAGAAACAAATTGTGAATGAAATCGAATCAAAGTTACAAAACTCATCCGCCATATTGGATCCGCCATCTTGAATTTCCAAATTTTGACAAAAGAGTCATTATCTTCGACCTAGAAAACCACTCGATACCAATTTTGAATAGAATCTGACCATAATTACAAAACTCGTCCGCCATATTGGATCCGCCATTTTGAATTTCCTCATTTCGACAAATGATTCATATATTCGACCTCTAAAACCTCCAGATACCAATTTTGAATAGAATCTGATCATAATTACAAAACTCGTCCGCCATATTGGATCCGCCATTTTGAATTTCCAAATTTTGACGAACGAACCATAATCTCCGATCCGAAAATCACCCAGATACAAATTTTGAATGGAATTGGATCATAATTACAAAACTCGTCCGCCATATTGGATCCGCCATCTCGAATTTCCTAATTTTAATAAAAAATCATAATCTCTGATCTCGAAAACCCCCAGATACCAATTTTGAATGGAATCTGACCATAATTACAAAACTTGTCCGCCATATTGGATCCGCCATCTTGAATTTCCAAAATTTTACGAAAGAATCATAATCTCCGACCCCGAAAACCCCCAAATAACAATTTTGAATGAAATCGGATAACAATACTCGTCCGCCATATTAGATCCGCCATCTTGAATTTTCGATCAGAAAATAGATTACGACCGATTCTCATACCTACCGAATACGCAGAGAATTTTATACATATATTAAAGTATAATAATCAAAAAGTGTCAAAATATTTCTCAGTAGGTTATGAAATGTTTCAGTAGATCACTAGATCAATATGTAAATCAGGAGATCTACTGAAAATTCAGTAGAACTGACAACCCTGCAGCGGACGAAAAGTGTTTGCTGACGAAAAGTTAGTGTCTGCGGACGAAAAGTACTTCGGAAATAGTCGGTTTTTTTGTTAGGAAATCAGAACGTAAAATGTGTTTTTTTGTAGAGGTCGACGAAAAAAAAAATACTTTGAATAAGTTTAGTCTCGAGTTTAGTACTTACATGCCCATTATCATCCAACTGGTTATTCGTTAATTTGAGTTTATCGAATGATACTGTTTGTTTCATCCACTGAGCTCCAGTGGCGGGGCTATCTGGATGTACGTGTATTCTGGGGGGTGACACAGGGTCTGCTTTACCAGCGACTACCCAACTCGAGCTGAAACAAAAGGCCTATTTAATTATCCAAAATAAAACTGAAACGTGACGCCCTCTCATTCTTTACTTTCTCGTCGCTTAGAACGCACGAAAAGAAATCTCTATTATATTCGAGGACCATCGTGTGTTTCTAAGGAGGATAAGGGGAAAAAGTAGGCATTCGATTTTTTTTTCAATGTTTGGGGATCAAAAGTTCGTGGAAACACTTTCTTTGGCGAAGAAATACAAAGCTTTGCAGTTCAATAGACAATGAACTCGGTTTGGTAAATGGTTGTTCTACATATTTTGAGGTTGACTACATCGATAATAAGCGTTTGCTTCCTCATTTGAGGACACAAACCTGCCAACTTACTTCAACGGGAAAAAAAATATTACCCCCCGTGGGAACTGGAATAAATTGGCTTTAGATTGCTTCCTTTGTGAGATATACATAAGATATGTGCTACCCAAGTACCTAATCAGTGTCTCCATCACTAACTACTATAAAACAAATAATTTCATTTTGACACTCCAATGATTTCATACACGTCCTCATATTCCAAACTTACTCAATTTAAACTTTAAATAAAATGCAATTAAACAATAATAGTCATTTCTCTACGACTATCGTATTCTACATTGATTACATATTGGTTAGTAATTGATGGATGAAGATGATTCCAAGACACCGTCATTATTCAACGGCACTCGACCAATCACAGATTCAGAATTTTCAGGATCCACAGCAACGGAAAAAGTTAGACTAATGACAAACCAGCAAATCTACCAAACAAATTTCTCAAGAAGGCTTTCCTTAATTTGACGGGTCACGTCACGGCTTGACTTTCGCGAATGTCAGATTGACTTATAGTTTCTTATAAGTTTTAACCTTTTAACTTTGATATCAGCTGTCACGATCAGAATATAAAATGAATAATTGTAATTGGGGAAGCAGTGATAGTGACAATAATGAGATCTGTACACCACCGGATTAATTGAGAACAACGAAAACAGCAACTCTTATTGATGCCGGAAAAATAAAAAACAATATTCGAAGGCATACGCGGAGTTCATGGATTCGCGAAACTTGAACCAGGCCCATTCATTCTCGGAAAATGTTCTTCTCGCATATTTTACGAAACTGTCAGAAAAATACAAATCATCATCGATGTGGAAGATATATTCAATGTTGAGAAGCACACTCAATGTAAACAACGATATCAGCATAGAGAGGTACCTACTCAAAATTGCGTGCATTGTTGAAACGAAAATCTGAAGGTTATCAGCCGAAAATGTCGAAAGCATTCGCCCCAGAAGAAATAAATAGATTTATCAATGAAGCTCCTGATGAAATCTATCTTGCAGCAAAGGTATGTCGAAATTGTCAAACAATAGTTATACCTGAAAGTTCTACGATATCTCAGTTTTTGGTCTGAAACATTTACTTTGGTATTTCACTCACAATTCTCGAGGACCTGTAGCTCAGGTGGTAAAGGCGCGCGCTCGTATATCTTTGTATATAGCTTTGAGCGTGAGTTCGAATTCCACTGCAGAAGTTTGTTTTTTAATATCTATTCGTGAATGAATTGTTAGCTATCCTCCCTCATATTGTTTTGTAATTTATACAACTTTTTGATAATAAAGGTATTAAAGGCAGCATATCATTTAGATATAAAATATACCATAAACTTAGCTTCCATCATTTTGTAAATGGAGTCCGGATCAATAGGTTCTCTTTTATATTTTCAGGTTGCATTAATTATGGGTATTATGGAGGTATTATGGTATTGCCGTTCTATAGAAATGTACTCTATGAATATTGAAGATATTCAAGATCTTGGGTCTGCATTGATGATAACTATTCCTAAGACCAAAGCAAAAATTGTAAGGAGGTTCACTGTAACCGGGAAATTTCATCAAATTCGTAAAAAGTAAATTGATATACGCGCAGCAAATGTTGGGATTCCCCATTTTTTCATGAATTACTAAAAAGGAAAATGTATTCTTCAGAAAATTGGAATTAATAAGTTTGCAGCAATGGGAAAACAAATAGCTACATTTTTGAAGCTACCTACCTACCTGCCTCTACCTACAGTCGCATTGCACAAACAATAACTTGAATAATCAGACTAATGAGCATAATTTTGTCTCAACAGCAGCCCAACAAAACTTAACAGCAAATTTGATCGATAATTAATGCTCAAGATACCTGTAAAGTCAAATGCTATAGATATTTGTTGCGTTCTGACTCTAGACGCTGTCTGACAGTTAGACCACAGATTGATGTTACCATTACCAAGTTTGAAATGATATATTTAGCGGGTCCTAATAGAAGCTGTTTCGATACGCATTTGGGTGTCATAATTTTCATTATTATTATTACATGGGAAGGGCAGGAGTGTTCACCTATTTTGCCCAAAACTTGAGAGCATTGTGAACACAGTCACAAATTTCACATCAAAAAAAACATTGGAAAGCAAGAACTAAATGAAAAGTACAAAATTCATCACTAGTAAAATAACAAGATTGACATATGAAGCAAGATTTCGGACATAGTTACACGAGAGCTTGACACATGAATCGAGTTACACGCACTAAATGGTCGAGTCGGTTCTTGAAGGCATTTATAGATGAGGCCGAAACTAAAGCGTAGGTTAGAGAGTTCCACTCGTAGAATAGTAGATTGTTTTATTAGGATCAAAAGTGACACTTTGTTTGACTAGCGAATTTTGCATTTGCGAGGCGGAGCGTTTAGCGAAGCCGAGCGAAAGCAAAATTTGCGAGTCGAACAAAGTCACTTTTGATCCGAATGAAACATGCTATTTTTTCTGCAACCGAAACAATTAACTCAAATAAACATTTGAAGTAACCACCAATGCCGTGCCATATGTATGCAATGCAACAAATATTGACAAATAATCCATGTGGTGAGAATATTCTACCTGCATTAACAGCAGGTTAGGTTTTCTAGGATGTTCGAATTGTAGTTTCAATATAAATAGAACCATAGAGTGACATATTTGTGCATGGACCAGGTGCTCTAATGGCAAATACCGCGCCAGTGACGGCCAGGTATAGGAACAAGACGTGGAAAATGTTAGGTTAGTGTCGTTAGTGAGCATATCAACAATGATGATAGTGATTATTTATTCCTCTCCATACTACACTGTGTTTGAATGGTGCTTGACTTGAATGAAGCGTAACAATATCGTTGTTTGAGACAAAAAAACTATTGCTTGCCGTGATTATTCAAAAACAAGTTATCATCCCGAATCAACGAATGAAATACAGATCAAGCAAGTATTTGAATCTTGAAGGCTTCCCTAATCAAAACAAAAATACTCAACTGAGATGTTTATAATTCCAATACTAAACTATAATAAGGTCACATAAGGTGTATTTATATCTCCAGCATGGGCATGAAATGCCAAATCTGCTGAAATCGGAAACAAATCAGGTATGCGTCTCAACCCAAATAACCAACCATCACAATGTTGTTTATTCCTGATGACGTCCAGTAGATCCTTTTTAGTTCCTAGGAGCTAAAGTTCAACTTTAGCTCCTAGGAACTAAAATTCAACTTTAGCTCCTAGGAACTAAATATGTTGCTTAGCAACATACCTATTTTTGTGTCAGTAATAGAAACGTCAATTTAAGAGCTGATTTTGGTATCAAAATGGACGACTTTTGTGTCGGTTGCAGAAAAAAGTCTATTAGTGAAAAAATGCTGTCTTCGATAGGTTCTGAATTTTTCCTCAGAAAGCTTCAGACTGTGGCCACGGAGTCTTTCGTCGGTATTTAAGGAGAAGATATGGCTGAGATCCACAACGAAGGTATCATTGTAAATTCTATAACATTGAATGAGGTCACCACGTTTTCGTCTTTCTTTCAAGGTAGTCGAATTCAGTGCAGTGAGTTTGTCGTGGTATTCTAGTTCGTAGACTTGTGGCACCCATTTCGTTAGTTAGGGCGACCATATCAGGACATTGTACTTCAGTAAGGGGCGTATGAAGCTTTTATACAGTTGAACAAATAACTTCTTATCCGGGGGCTGAAACGACTTCCTAACAATGTAAGAAGTGCTGTTGGATTTTTTTACAAAGTTGCCAATATGTTCCGATCAAGTCAACGACTTGTTTATTGTCACGCCAAGATCTGTTTGGGATTCCACTGATTGGATGGGTACGTTTCCAATGTGATTACGAATATACGGGTTGTTGCGACCGATATGTAAAACTGTACATTTTGAAGGATTAAGAGGAATTAGCCAGTCGTTAAACCATTCTCCCAGAAGTTTCAAATCAGACTGCAAGTGGTTCGAATCAACAAGAGGGTTGCAGAATAATTTTGTATCATCAGCGTAGAGGGAGTTGGTGCAGTGCAGAATTGATGGTATGTCTGAATGCTCATGATTTTGATATCACTAGACACAATCTGTCTCGTACTGGAAAATCTCCGGACTATTTGCCATTTGGAAATAAAACTCTACAATCATTCACCTCAAGAAATCAGAGAAATGAATTTCACCAAGTTCAAATCATCTATAAAGCGCATATTGACTCAGGGCGCTTATTATAACATAAATGAGTACTATTAGATTCATAGTACTTGCTATAATGGCATAGTGTATTAAATTGGTAGTGTGTACACCCCAAATTGTCAATTGGTGTTCTTTTACTCAAATTGCCTATTGTCTTTTCTTTTTACCTCATGTGTAGATTTTATCCTATTTTCCATATGTGTAAATGTTATTCCTTTCATCCTAGGTGTAAATCTTAAATTGTAATTGTAATTCTCATTATCTTACGTGTAAATCATAATTTTTAATGTCTTGGCCTATGCTGCATATACTTTTTTAAAATACTTTTTATAACTGTGACGTGTATATCCATTTTCGGATGGCTACTGTATGTTTAAAAAAAGTGTTTAAAAGTGTTTTAATAGTGTTTTTAACCGCCAGCTTAGTTGCAAAGCAACCCTCGAAAGTCAGAGACTTGTGTGAGTTAAGAAGACGTTAATACGAATAAACATGGGGCCTGAGACATACCCTTGTGGAACGCCAGATAGGGTTCATAAAATACGCACAATAGGAAAAGAATATTATCATACCTATGGAAGGCATATCGGTATCGCTTGTCGTCC